GCAACAGATTGCTGGGGCTGTGCACGCTGGGGTGAAGCCAGGAACTGGAGCCTTCTACCCCTTCCCTCTGCTGGGCCTAGGACTAAACCTTACAAAAGTCAGGGGAAAAGGGTGCAAGAGGGTGAACAGGTGGAGCAAGGGTTGTAGGATAGGAAGACTCACTTGGTGACAGCACTGTGGATGTGCCCAGGCCTTTTGTCAGCGCCCCAGATCTGCAGCACAGAGCAATGCTGTGGAAGCAGATGCGGGGCCTGGGATGCGCAGTCTAGGAGGAGGCTCAGCTGGGGATGCCCGCTCAGGGCGAGGGCTCGTGTGCCGCCCGGTCCCTTTTCCTGATCTTGCTGCAACACTAAAGACCACACAGAATGACAGAGCCCCTGGGAACTGAGCTGTGCTGTGTCCACGCTTCTGGGCCAGGCCGACCTGGGCCTCGGCAGCTCAGCCTCTGCTCCTGGTCTGTGTGCCGGAACCCAGAAGGGGCACCTTGGCCAGCAGCAGGGCCTCGCCTGTCTGTGGTCCCTGGCTCAGGAGTACCTGTGGGAGGACCCCACCCTTGCCCATGTGTTCCTTGTCATGTACACAGGGTGACTAGAATATGGAGTTTAAATGTAAAAAGCACTTATTACAGGAAGTCACACAGCCGACGACTACAGGTGCTCAGAGGAAAGGCACACGTAACGGCGATAGCTAGGAGAGGGACAGGAGGTCCCACTAGCCCTGGAGCCACCTGTGAAGCCACAAGTGATAAATATGAAAATGACACCAAGGGGAACACAGAGCCCTGGGCAGTCCAGACACCAGCACAGGTAGGTGTGGGAGGAAGACAACAGACTGGCACCAATCAGGAAGGGGCAGACTCTTGGCTTTTGTTGTTGCTGTTTGTTTTAAGATGGTTCTCACTGTACTGCTCAGGCTGGCCTGGAACTCCGACATTCAAGCAATCTTCCTGCCTCAGCCTCCGAGTACTGGGATAAGTGCACAGCCCAGCACCCAGCTAGGGGTGCAAATGAAAGTGCTGGGATACCCATTTGCTTCACGCTGGAAACAACACAAAACTGAAGTCCTACCTCACACCGTAAAAGAACCAGCCCAGATAATTTAAAGGTTTGACATTCAAAAATCCTCTAGAATTACAAGAAAAAAAGAAATTATATGGCCTTATAGTAGAAAAAGCTTCTTTAAGATACATATACACATGTGACTAAAAAATAAAGTATAAGATACATTAATTCAACTTACAAATAAAAAAACCTATAAAATGCATCCTAAATGGCTCTAATTGCTTTATAAAAGGGACACAAATATGAAAAGGAGTTAAATTATCCATATTACCAGATATGATCCTTCTTAGGGATTTGTTTTTGTTCTGAGACAGGATCTCACTATGTTGTTCAGGCTGGCCTTGAACTATGTAATCCAGGCTGGCCTCAAACTATTTGTAATTGTCCTGCCTCAGCCTCCTGAGTGCTGGGATTATAGGTGTGTGCCACCAAGCCCAGCAGCAGATACAATCCTATACACTGGAGACCCTAAAATCTCCACCAAAAGACTTTTAAGTTGACAAATTATGCAAAGTGCCACGATATAAAATCAACACTAAAAGTTCAATAGCTTTTCTATACACCAATAATGAACTAGCTGAGAAAGAAATCAGGAAAACAATTCTATTCACAATAGCTTCAAAAGCAAATCCTAGGGATCAGTCTAATCAAGGAGGTAGACGATGTCTACAAAGACAATTTCAGAACTCTGAGGAAAGAAACTGAAGAAGACACTAGAAGATGGAAAGACCCATGTTCAGGGATCAGCAGAATTACTATTAGAATGGTCACACTACCAACAGCAGTGGACAGACAGAGCCAATGGAATCCCATCAAAACAACAATGACATTCTTTACAGAATTAGAAACACATCCTGAAATTCATATGGAAACATAAAAGACTCAGAATTGCCAAACCAAACCAGCAAAAAGGGCAGGGCTGGCGGCGCCACGATACCCAATCTCAAATGGAAACACAAAGGCACCCGACCAAACAGCACGGCACCGGGACCCGCACAGAACAGACGCGCAGACCGGCGGGGCGGAACAGAGGACACAGAACAACCCACACAGCCACAGCCAGCTCATTCCGGACAAGGGGCCAAAGCAAACACCGGAGAAAGACACCCTCCTCGACAGGCGTGCTGGGAGAGGGGGCGTCCACAGGGGCGACTGAGACCCGGTCCCTGTCCCTCACCCTGTACACAATCGATTCAAAATGGATCACGGGCCTAGGCCTGAGACCTGGAACTCTGACACAGCAGACACACTGACACTATGAGAACAAAAACTTTCTGAATAGGACTCCAAATAGCACAGGAAGTAATAGCAAGAGTCAACGAATGGAGCAGCATCAGATTAAAAGCATCCGCACTGCAGGGGAAACAATCAACAATGGAGAGACAGCTGCAGAATGTGAGAAAACCTTTGCCAGCTACTCCTCTGACAAAGGGTTGATATCTAGAAACCATAATGAATTAAAAAACTTACCACCATAAAACTCAAATAGCCCAATTAATATATGAGCATATAACACATTTTTCAAATGTACAAATGAGCCGTATGTAAAGGAAAAAGTGCCCAACATCTTGAGCCATTAGAGAAATCCCAACCCACAAGGAGACTGCATCTTACTCAGTCAGAGTAGCTGCTATGAAAAATATAAACACAGTAAGTGCTGGTGAAGACGTTGGGGAGAAGGAGCCTGTCTCACGGCAGGCTGAGTTGAAGCAGGGCCACCGTGGAAACCTGCATGGAGATCCCTCTGAACACAAAGGCAGAGTTGCCTCCTAGTCCAGCTGTATCACTCCTTGGTTTAGATCCAAAGGAATGCAAGCCAGCGTACCACAGGGACACCTGCATGCCCTTGTTTCTTGTGGCAGAAGCTTACATGCCATCAAGAGATGGATAAAGATCATGTGGTTTATATATTCACAACACAGCTGCCAGAGAAAAGCATGAAATTCTGTCATTTGCAGGAAAATGGATGGGTTTGGAGATCACCGTGCTCAGTAAAATAAGCCAGACTCAGAAAGATGAATATCTCGGTTCTCCCTAATGTGCGGAATCCAAGAAAAAAGCTCAGTAGGAGACTATTATTAGAAAAGGAAGGGAAGAAAAGGAAGGTTAGGTAAGGAGCATAAATATGAATACATTACACACAGGACCTGCCCCCCACACCATGTGAGGCTGGAGGGAGGGTGGGGTGGGCAGTGCTGCTGGAGAAAGGGTCAGCTGCAGTGTGCTATGTGCACGTACAAATGTGCCCACATGACACTCATCTGGATAGCCAATATGCACTAGCACAGATGTGGGGAAAACAGCTCTGAAACAAGGAATTGTACCACGCATCTAATCCCAATTCTCAGGCAGAACTACTACTGCAGAGACCAGCCTGGCTCCATCTTGAGTTTAAGGCCAGCCTGAACTGCACAGTGAGACCCCTTCTCGAGGAAACACACAGACACAGAAATGACAACCTGGAGGACATCTGCAATGCATATAACAGAGGGTGAAACTACCCCTGCAACTCACTGTGACAAAGCCCACCAACAAGCATGCCCAGGCCCATTAGCAACTGCAGGAAGCTTCCTGAAAAACAAACGCTTTTCGCTCAGCAGAGTAGCAAGCATTGGATGGCCTCCAGTGTGGGCAGGGACAGGAAGCAGAAACTGAATCCTCCCAGAGCTGAGGACCAAGACATGCTGCGTGGTTGGGAACTCTGGGCACAGGTTCGGCGCAGGGCTGTTCCCAGCGAAGCTGCTTCTCCAGGTGCCCACTCTGGAGAACAAATAAAAATGTGCTGCACTGATTGAGCAGGATACAGTGGTTATAACAGGTAGTCCTGATATGTAATAGATGAAAATAAAGCACAGACAGCTCGGTGTTATATTTTTAAATCACCAAACAATACAGTTGTCTTACAGACGCTGGATGAAAATATGAAAGAAACAGACACAGATTCGCTCTCATGATCGTCTCTGTCCAGGCACTGTGAGAGCTGACTGAAGAGAATTCTATCTAGCTCTTGTGTTTTCTTATATTTAAAAAGTTATTATTTTTGGAAGGGGGAATCAAGATATGTGTCTTTTTGGTGATTATTTCAAGTATTTCTTTATGGTGCAGTTCCTGCGGTGTTCAAATTTATGGGAGGCCAATCAGGCCTCCAATCTGCCTAGAGAGGGGAACGGGGAGGACAAAGACAGAAAGACAGTACCTGGGGGCTGGGAGGTCAGGGCCAGAGTGGGCAGAGACAGACACACTGAGCTGGTGGTTTCCTGGGTGCACACAATACCAGAGGGATGTGGGGTGACTTGGAGGGCAGCGGTGATCCTATGCTGATGACAATCTTAGGCTGATGAGGAGCTGAGATGCGCAAAGCATTCCCATAATAGCAGGTGGACCAGATGGCAGGCTAATGAGGAATCTGTCCTTCCCCAAGGTGAAACCTTTCACCATCTTTACTACTACTCAGTTCTCAAGGAACCAGGAGGTCTTCGGCGGGCTCACTCTTACCCTTGAACGTCACAGTGTCAGGGGACCACTGAGCCCTCAGCTGTGACTGGAGGCACAGAGTTCTGTCCACACGCCATAGCTGGCTCACAGGCAAGACTAGGCTCAGACAGCCCTGATCACAATTTAATTATGAAATGATTTTTCCCAAAAAATTATACAGAACGGCTCTTGACACAAATTCATGCCCGGGTTCTAACACCAGCGGAAAAACTGGTCATGCTGGACACACTGCACATGGCGTAACACTGAGCTCTATGTAAGATTTAAATGAACTTCTGAGGAGGTGGTGATAGTAGTTTGCCTTTACTGACAAGTTAGTGTTAATTCTCTTTCACGTTAAGATTCACGGTATTCAGCAACTTGGTGCCTTAGATTCAAACTACACATAAGGACATTCGCCCCATTAGATAAAGACTTCTGCAGAACCAAGGCTAAGTACAAATCAGGTGGATCAAAACCCTTTCTCTAGTGACAACTGGTGGGAAGAAGAGACAACTTCACCTGCACCTTCTGGGTCCCCGGCAACTCTCCAGGTTGCTACTGTTACAGGCATTATTCCCAGCCTTCCTTAACCTGGACGTTCTTTATCCCGCTGGTCAGGTAAGAAGCAAGCTGGTCTCATTCTTCACTCTTTCTGCCAGACTTTGGGTTTTCCGTACATTGCTGTTTACCTTCCGGGCTTTCACGGCAGCCTTTGCTCACCACTACAGTGATGTATTTTAGCCATGCAGCCCGACTTCTTTCCCTGCAACTTTCTGCAACAACAACCCAGATGCACCTGCCCTTCAGCCCTCTAGAACAAAAAGAAATATTCCAACAGCTGGTTTGTACGTAAAACATGTAGTGTTATTTTATCATTATACTTTACATAAACTTGTGATGGCAAGAATATTTCATTTAAAGGACTTTTTCCATATAACGTGGTCACTACAAATACACGGTGTCGATTACAAGGAGTTTTCTCTGAAGCACTGGCTGAGATGTAGAGAGCATACAGCATTTTACCAGGAGCCAATAATATAAGCTGGGCATTAAAAACTACATCAACATTCAAATGGGGAACACGGTAACAAGGTCCCTAAAACCCAGCTGCACGCTGCCAGCGCTCCCTCTCCCAAAGGCAATCACAGTGCAAAGGGCTTTCTGTGGCTGTGTGACACGCACGTTTGTAACCTGATACTCCATTTCCAAAGTGGCACAGCAGAGATGGACAAGCAAGCCAAGGCGCCCTGCAGAACCTCAAGGCCCTGTCAGCTGAGCGAGCTCAGGTGGTCCCGCAGGTTCATACAGACACAGTGGACCGCGGGCTGGGCCCCCTCTTCCAGGTCTACAATGAACAGGCTGATGCCGGTGTTGGGGCTGACGGCCGAGAGCTCCGATCTGTTCAGAGTCGCCGGCAAGGAGCCCTTCAGGTCGGTGAGAAAATAGCCGAACAGGCTCCGCATGTAGGCGCCGTGGCTCACAACCAGGATGCTGGCTGCCAGGCCCGAACGAAACTCAGCACTGCAGTTCTTTCCTAGAGGAAATATCTCTGCCAAAGACGTTTCCAGACAGTCGCCTGGAACTTCTGGGGAAAGCTGTCCTCTCTCACTTCCTTCTTTTAGGATTAGTTGACAGAGGAATTCAAAGAAATCTTTTCCACGCACTTTTACCTGTAAGGAAAAAATAAAAAGTAAAATAAGATGACGTAAATGACTTCTGTAAAATAGAAACATAAAACGTAAGTGACTGTTAAAAATCTTTAAACTTATATGGAACCTCGAAAAAACAAAACCAAAAAACCAGGTTTATACTATTTTAAAACACATTATGAAACTTCGGTAACTTCAAAATATACTACAAAACCATAGGACTCAAAACATCACAGTATCGGCATAAAAACACACAGACCAGTGGAGCAGAACAAAGCCTGGACACACATCGCGAATCTGCTGCTGACCGACCTTCCGCACGCGCTAGTGTTGCGCACAGGGGAAGAACTTCCGCTCCGTCAGCAGTGCGGGGCCTGCAGACTTCCACAGGGGCAAGGCAGGGCAGGGCAGATGCGTCAAGACTCGGAAGTGAAGTGGACGTTTTGAACAATATCCCAAAACACAATAAACAAAAGCACAAGCAGAGAGACCCGGCTGCGTCAAGCTGGTAAAAGTCTCCGCGCAGCAAAGGTTATCAGCGGAATGGAGCGACAACCAGGGGATGAAGGGAACTGCTCGCAGCTGCACATCCGGCAGGGCTCAGTACACACAAGGCTGCAACCCAGCAGCGCCACACAACCCCACTGAAACACGCAAAGGGACCTAAACTGACAGAAAGCAGAACACATCACTCAAATGCAGACCAAAGCAAGACGAGCCATCGGTTCAGCCCCAGGAGGGGTGGCTACCATTAAAACACCAAAACACAAGTGTCACTAAGGGTGTAGAGGAAAAGGGCCCCTCACAATCTGTGGGTAGGAGCAGAATTTATACACCTACAGCAGAACACACGACGGAGGGTCCTCAGAAGGTTAGGACAATCCTTCTGGCCTAAGTGCAAACCAAATGAAGGAGTCCTGCAGCACTCTTCACACTAGCCTAGACATGGAACTGTGTGGTACATGCACTCGATGGAAAATTATTCAGCCATATGAAGGATGAAATCCTGTCACCTGGAACAGTGTGGATGGAACTGGTGATTATCATATTAAGACACAAAAAGATGAGCAGAGCATGGTCTCACTGCAGAATCTGCAAGGCTGACCTCATCCAGCTGAGAGCAGAATGGTGTCCCCTGTGGCTGCTGAGAGGATGGGAGGGGCTGGCTAGAAACTGCCACGTCTCACTCAGGGGCAAGCAGCTGTGCTGTGCCTCCGCGGGGTGTGGGCCCAGATACAACAATTCCATACTATACTTTCCGGAAGGCCAGAGACTCTGACGGTTTCCATGGTGAAGAGATGATGTCTGGGCGAGGCATGTGCTAACTGATTAAATGCCACAGTGTAGCTGATCAACACTACATGGTGCTCATTAATAGGAGTAACTTCTACTTTCATGACTTGATTAAAAGCAAGTTCAAACTGAACAATCTACCTAACTGATGGCACATCCTCTCAGTAGGCAGGCCAGCGTCCCAATCTATACTTCCAGTCACTATTGCATGTCCCCCACATTTCTGCAAGCACAGTGCAACAAAAATGAGTGATACACAATTCCAAACTCCTCACCTCAGAGGAAGCATGCAGTTAGGGAAATCCAGAGTAAGGGCTAGGCTGGGAAACAGCCTCCCAGGGAAACGTACCTGGCACTCAGGTGGCTGCAGTGACACCAGAGCTCTGTGTCTTACTGAGTCACTCACTGAGGCAGTGAGTCTTCACTGGAACGTCATAAAATAAAAAGTAGGAAGAAATGGCCACCAAGACTTGGAGGAATTAGCAGCACCGACTGTCAGCAAAGAGCAGAGAGGGCAGAAACCTGAAAGTGCACGTCCTGTGTCGTGGCCCAGGGTGGCACCTGGGCACCTGCACCCACACCTGCTTCTGACCACACCGCCCCACGGGCACTGCTCGCAGACTCGGCATTCTCAGACACACTTCCTGAGACTTGGCCCCAGTGACAAATACCTGTGACAGCGCATGCGGAACAGGACTTAGGAGGAAACAAGAACTGGTACCAGCCAAACTGTTTTGTGAACCAAGTGACTTCCACACTGCTTGCTGGCCTCCCAAACCCCCAATTTGCCAGTGAGCTGATCCCAGCCACTGACACTGACGAGCTGACCAGTGGCAACAGGCTTGGGCTCCTACCTGGTCCAGCGTCTCTCCTCCGGGAGGCGTGAACACCGGGCACTCCTTCCCCTCAGCCTTGGCCATGGCTCGCAGCTCGCTCAGCGCCTTGCCTTCGGCGACCCCATACTTCTGCAATGGTGCAACAGATCAACATGCCCCATGTGAGTGTGCAGTGTGACAGCTAAGCTCAGGGGCAGGGCAAATTCGGAAGTCATCCCAGGATTGAGCTTAGTGTTCTCTTTACTGCTTGATCTGTACTCAGTAGGCAGCCATGGCCCCAGAAAACAGTGGTGTCTCCACCCGTGCGGACACATGCAGGGCACTGCACCCCTGGGCCAGGGCTCACCATGTGCAAGGAACCAGGATGGCCACCAAGCCACAGTGAGACTCAGTGCGACACCATGCAGCCTCTCCCTCGGTCCCAGCGGCAGGTGCTGTGGAAGAAGGGCACAAATGCGCTGCTGCCCCTCAGGGAGGAAACTGCACTCGGAGCCAGTCACCAGCGGAGCCCAATTCAACCCAGACCTTTCTAGGTTCACTAAGACTGAGCTGGTGCAAAGGACGAATGAGTCACAAAGAAACACACATGACCAAGGATGCAGGGAACTTGCAAGGGCCGGGAAGGAGAACTATAATGGCACCACTCTTAAGCATTAACTTGTGAGATGAGACACTGATGCTCCAGGTGCTGCTCCAGGAGAAAACACGAACATCCAAGAATGGCAGACATTTATAGCTAAATGGACGCCCCTTGAGACCGTACTCTTAAGTAAGATAAATCAGGACTGAAAGTGGAAACATGGACTAAAATTAAAATGCACAACAGCTATGGGGAAATGGGAAGAAAATGTTCAAATGGGAAGGGGAACAAGGCAGGGGGTGGGAGAAGGTAAGGAAGGGGCAAGGGAAAAAAGTGAAAATAGAAGGAAAAAATGGAAAGAAAGCTTTTGTTCATAGGGACAGAGAGGGCTTGAGGAGAGGGGGAAGAGGAAAAAAGAGGCGGGAGGAATCGTGTGCAAATTCCCTATGATGAGTGTTATCATTATGTATGTCTAAAATGTACCAATAAATGCTTTGCTATTAAAAAGAAAGAAAGAAAACACACACTTTCTCCTGGAGCACGGGAAGCAATCGAGCAATAGCTGTAAGAGCCTTAAAGAAGAGCGCACGTTCCCCCATGTCCACTTCTGGAAATGTGTCAGACAGGGGTGCACAGGATTAACTACGAAGATGCCTAACACAGGCATCAGCAGAAAATCCAGCCCCAATCCAGCTGTCCGTCAGCAGTAGCTGGGTCACAGAAACTGCAGTGGCCACCCTGGGATGGCAGTCAGGACACAATAAACGGGAAATGCTGGCTTAAAAGCAAATGTAGAATTCCACTTAGCAGCATGCGTACAGAGATGGACATGGAGAAAGTCAGCAACACACGCCACAGTGCTGACAGCATATATGGTGGGGGGTAACTCTTCTCACTTTTAGTTTCCTACGATAATGCAATACTGCATAATAAAATACAAAAGAAACAAGTGGCCATTTTTGCATTTCAGGGACAGTGTCAGTGTCCTCACACCATCAACAGATAAAAGCTCGATCCTAAAATGCCATTTCACAAGAATACGTGTGTGTAGTCTTAAGAAGCCGGCCAGTCCTGCCATCCTCAAGTTGGGATTTTCACGTCTTCAGCTCTGTGCGCACTCGCTTGGGCCTCACAGCGATAGAAACCTCCTTTCATAAAATATCCTGAGGGCACCCTGAGGCACCCTGGGCAACAAGGCCATGGTGTGATGGAGGTCTGATACCCTCTGCCCAAGTGTGCAGGACAACAACCCAGGGCACAGGGCGCAGGGCCAGGCGGGAGGTGAAGGGACACAGACCTGTGGACATAAGCACCCCAGGCAGCGCTGATACAGAAGGGAAGCCCCCAAGGGAGAGCCAAGTGCATGGGAAGAAGAACAGGTCCCCGGCTGTGACAGTGGCCCAGAGCACAGACTGCAGGGCTAGTGGCCAGGCAATGCCAGATGTGGACATGCAGTGAGCTGTGCCCTGTGGCTTCCGCCCCGTGAGGCACAGGTCAAGACCAGGGATTTCATCTTTATCACAGTGGTGAAGGTGAAGGTGATGGGCTGCGGGCTCGGAGCGAGGCATTCTGGCCGTGCTTGCCCAGCACCATCACAAAGGCTGGGTTACGGGAGAGGGGAGTAGAGAGCTGGGGAGGGACAGATCAGGGCCCTCCAGACCCTGTCTCAGACCACCAAAAAGTCATCGTCGGTGACCAAGGTGAGAAATGAGTACACGGCACACAGCTACGATCCTCACCACTTGGGAGGCTGAGTCAGGAGGGCTGCAAATTCAAGCCCAGCCTGGGTAATTTAGCAAGCCTATCTCAAGATATAATAAAGGAATGGAGTTGTAGCTCAAGGATACAGTCCATGTCCAGCACACATGAAGCCCTGGCTTCTACCCAGAGCACCCAAAACATACAACAAACAAAAGCTTCAAAGTGCCACAAAAACAAGCACACAGGCTAAAACTCACCGGGTATAGGTGCTGACTGTGCATGGAGTATGAGGCAGTAAAGGAAAAACAAAGGACTCGCAGAGTGGGTAAGGCAGGCAGCACACCCATGGGGCTGAAAAGCTGCGAGGCACCCAGACCAGAAACCAGGAGCAGGCATTGTGATGCGCAAGCAGCCCAGGTAAGCCACCAAAGATTGCCAGGCCATCACTGCGGGCACAGGACAGCCGGAGAGGGGCGCCCTTCATGGGGATTTATTTCTGCTGAGGCCTAGCAAAGGATGGGGAGTTACTGGGCGTGCTTAACAGTACTCAGCTGTTCTGCTGGATTTCTGCCCAGGTGGAAAAGATGCTAATGAGCTTACAGGTCAGCCAATGGAGAGCACAGCAAAGCACTGCTCTGGGGAGAAACCTGGGTCCAAATCTCAGGCACAGAACTGCTCTGTGATGGGCTGAGTCCCAGCTTCAGGGAGATTCACTTCTGGTAGATAAAACAGGGTAAGAAAATCTAATTGTGCTGAGGAGCAGGATTAGGACTGAGAACTTTTCATTTTTACTTGAGACTTATCTTTTATAATTTAAGGCACTTATCTCATCTCATATGATCTTAGTAACTAAATAAGGCACTAGAAAAGTATGCAACAGTGCCTGTCACCTCAAAGAGCCTAAAATATTTCAAACTCCCAGTAGGAGAGCACGTGAATTTTTAGCTGGTGACAAACTAGGGGGGCTTACTGAAAACTATGACAAACAACAATATATAAATAAGTTACCCTCTCTCGAAGTCTTGAATCATACTTTACTGTCATGCCTTTGCAAAATCTGCTTTTCTCCAAAATTCCATGGATGGTCTGCAAAATCAAGAGATATTTTCTTTTCTTATTAAAAAAACAAAAACAAAAAAATCATGAAACTTCAAAACAATACATGCTACCCTAGTCAAGAGAAAAAAGCTAGCAGCGATTTTCCCATGTATAGCTGTCTGTCAGGCTATAGGCTGCACTCCGTGGTGGGGCAACAGCTCAGCATGCACAGAGGCCCTGGCTTGCTCCTTGCACCAGGGAAGTGAAGCACCGGCATAGTGAAAGGCACCTGCAACCCCAGGGCTGGGACCACGCGCGGCAAGAAGATCACAAACTCAAGTCCCACCCGGACACCACGGCAAGACTACACTGCAAAGTAAAGGCTGAAGAGGGCCAGCCGTTGAGGGCCGGCAGCCTGGCTCCATTCTGAGGACAAGGCTGCCACGTGGTGCCATCTCCGGTTACCATCTGTCCTCACCTGAAGTACGCAATCTCGTCAGCTGTGTGACCTGTAACTGGGTTTTCATTTATCTTATTCCCCATTTTAAACTGACTCTATTAATATACATGCCTATTTTAAGAACATCATCGTTACCAACCCAAAAGGCTCCTGCATCCCAGGCCAGCAAACCTGCCTCATGCCACTGATCTTCTTCCAGAGCGATGGGTCAGGCTTCTCTGGATGGCAGGAGTGGATCTCAGGTGTGTACTCTTTTGTGTCTGGCTTCTTCTGCTTGGCATAACGTTTCTGAGCCTCCTCTGTGGGATGAATGTGCCTCACCCAGCTCTCCGCTTAGCCATGTCCCAGTACATGAACACAGGCCCCACATCTGTTCACTCCTCACCAACACAATGGCCATTTCTGTCCCTCGGCCATTACAGCTAAAACTGCTGCTAAATGATCACATACCAGTCTCAGTGTGAAAACTCCTAATTCTGCATGTTCTTAATTCCATTAGGTAAATTCCTGGGACTGAAATTGCTGGGTAACAAAAAAATGTATGTTAAACTTTAAAACTATTTCCCAATGTAGTGGCTTCCTTTCGCACTCTGCTTGGCAGGCTTCTCTTCTGAGTCCTTTGAATACGTGTGAGGCAGCAGCAACAGCACACTGGGGCTCTGATTAGCATTTCTGTGGTGATTAAGGACTCTGAGCATCTTTTCACCTGCTTACTGGCCTCCCACGTATCTTCCTTTGTGAGTACCCGGTCAAATTCAAATCTTTCACCTCTTTTAAAGTGAAGTGATTGTCTAACGAGCAGAAAGAACTTGTGTGCACTTTGCCCATATATATGCTTATGTAGAATATGCTCACGATATATGTTTTTCCCTCCCAGTCTATGGTTTGCCTTTTCATTTTCTTAATGGGATCTTTCACAGAATAAAACTTTTCATCTGAACATACAGTGAGTTTCAGTTAGTTTTTGTTTCTGGGGCAAGTTGAGGTTGCCGCACATGTTCTCCCTGTGGCTCTGACTGCACCCCAGAATCACCTGGTGCTTCTGTCAGCGTCCTGCCGGGCGGGGGCTGGAGGCACAGCACAGGGGTGGGGCCCCAGGCCAGCAGAGCCACAGCCCTGGGTTCCATCCCTGGCACTGAAAAAAGGTAAGAACAAAACCAAAACTAAACTAAAAGTCAATTGACCAAAGAAACAAAAACAAATTAAGTAACAGCCACCAGTATAAACATGGGTCTATATCTGGTCTCTTCATTTTATGAGACCAAGAATAAAAATCTTTATTTCACCTTTAAGTTTTTAAAGAATTTTCATTGGGTATAGATTTGGAATTTCTTTTCTTTCCTCCCCACCCCTTTTTTATTGTGAGACAGGGTCTTGCTACACAGTCCAAGCTGGCCTTGAACTCACTATTGTAGCCCAGACTGGCTTCAAATTCACAAAAATCCTCCTGCCTCAGCCACCCAAATGCTGAGTGTGCCACCATGCCTAAACTGGCTAAAACATTATTTCTTCAATGGCCATCAATAGTTAATTATGCTCATTTAAGAAAATTTGGAACGTGAAAGGAGGAAAAGATGACTTACCATACCAAGTCATCGTTAGTATTTGACTTACTTTCCAGTCTCTCGTTCTCATATAACAATTCCCTTCGCAGTCTGGCTAAGTGTAGCTTGTGTTACACGTGTACACAGCACATACTTTTAAAGTCTCTGCGTTCACTTGTCCCCAATTGCCATTCCCTCTGGGGCTCAAAGTCCGTGTGCACCACATGGCCTGACCTCACCCACACTTCCTTGAGCCTGTCTCCCAGGCCTCCTTCTTCCCCTGCAGTTACTTCCGGAAGGTTCTGCTCTGTCTTCATGTTCACGGATCTCTTCTGTAGGGCCTGGTCTGCTGTTCACCTTCTCTTGTGAAATTTCCATTTCAGAATATTACATTTTAAAAATCTCTCCATCGGCGTGGCTCCTTTAGAACCCTCCTGGTACCATCTGTCTCCCCTCCTCACCTCTGTGCATTACTTAGCAGTGCTCTTGGAGGAAAAACTCCCAGACCTCTGTGAAGCCATGTGTGCATTCATCAACACCTTCCACCTCATCTGGGAGCCCCAGAACTCCACACCAAGATGGTTCTGCTGGCCTCGCAGCCCACCCTGCACGCGTGTGCAGGCCTCTGCCCCAGCTTCAGTTTTACGCCTGCGTCCTCAGACCCATGCTCCCCTTCAGCTCCCTGGAAGTGTCCGCAGGTGACCCTGGGACTCGCTTGGGCCACAGGCCCACAGTGCCCAGTCCCATTGGGCCACACTGTTGTGTTTTCTGGCTGGTTACGTGGGAAGGCAAAATTTCAGCCCTATTATTCCCTTGTCCTTGGTCACAAGTCTCCTTCCACTCACTTTTCACAAGCTGATTTGGTTATTTTTAAAATCTGGCATCATAATTATAATAATTATCCCTTAAAGATATTTGTAACTTGTCTTTATAGTATTATAATGGCATTTTGTTTGTTGGGACACAGTCTTGGCCAGGCTAGTCTCAAACATGCAGAAATCCTCCTGCTTCAGCCTCCCAGTACCTTGATTAAAGGCATGTGACACCATGCCCAGCCTGTGATGGTTTTCCATGGTCTTCCGTGATTCTGCTGCCTGGCAGCTTTGTGCGTTCATCTGTCTGCTGTCTCTGTCTGTCTTGACACTGATTTATATTTGTTTATATTCTTGTTACACAATTTTTTCAAAGCTACTCTAATATAAAAATTACTCCCCCAAAAAGTACAATGACAAGAAAAGCAATGAGTTCTGTCTGGGGACAGGAGTAGAGGGAGAGAGAGGGTGGAGTGAGGTCTGTGATTTAATCCTCTGCAGACTCCAGGCTGGAGCTTCTGCCCTCTCAGCCCAGACCCTGACCCAGACTCACCTGCTTTGTCCTTGTGAGGTCACTGGAAAATGCATGAGTAAATAGCACATTATTCAGAAAACTCCCGGCGGCAGCTGCCTGTTTGAATCCAGTTTCAGAAAGAGGCTCGTCCATGCCTTGTCCTGTGGTGAAACAGTAACGTTCAAAAATATCTCCCAGAGCTCAAAGAGAAGTATTTCAGGCTCTAAAAGAAAACAACCTCCAACCCGATGGACGCATCTTGTAACGCTATCTTTCAAAATCAATGGAGAAATAAGACACACTTCCATGACAGAACAGATGAAGAAATTTATAACCACCAAATCTGCACTCCAAAGTACTCTGAAGGATATTTTAGAAAGGGATAATGAAGATTACAGTTCCAAGAACACCAACAGAAAGAAACCACCAGGCAAAGCAAGCAATTAAACAAAGGGGAAAGACAGAAAACCAACAGCAGGAAAAAACATGACAAAGATAAGTCAACACATATCAGTTGTAACCATCAATGTTAATGGTCTCAATTCACCAATTAAAAAAACAGATTGGCAGACTGGATCAAGAAGCAAGAGCCAACAATATGCTGCATACAAGAAACACATTTAATTAAAAAACAAATTCACGGATGGAAAGTCAAAGGCTGGAAAACAATATTGCATGTTACAGGAACCTGGAACAAAGCAGGGGTAGCTATTCCATTTGCAGAAAATGTAGATTTCAAGCCAAGACTGATTAAGAGAGAAAAGGTCATTACGTCCTTGTAAAGGGAACAATCCAAGAAGAAGAGATCATAATCATAAATATATATGCATCAAACACCACCACACTCAAATATATAAAACAAACATTAAAGGGCATGAAAAATCAAATAAGCACTAATTGTAGTGGGGACCTCCATACCCCATGTCAAAAACAGACAGATCAACTAGACAAAAAAATCAACATGGAAATATCAGAACTCAACCAAATTTTTGAAAAAATGGAGTTAGTAGATACCGACAGTGTTCCACCCCACAACATTGGGATACACATTCTCCTCAGCTGCACATTGGACATTCGCCAAAACAGATCACACAATAGCTCATAGAACATGCTTATGTAAACGCAAAGGAACTGAAATTATCTCATGCATATATGCTATCAGACCACAGCGCAATGCAATTGAAAATCAATGGCAAAATAAACCACAACAATTTCATGAACAAATGAAAACTAAACACCACCCTCCTGAACAACCAGTGGGTCACAGATGAAATTAAAGAAGAAATCACACACTTTCTGCAATTAAACAATAATGCCAGTACAACACACTGGAACTTATGGAATGCAATGAAAGCAGTTCTACCATGGAAATTTATAGCAGTAAATTCTCACATCAGAAAGAGAGCAAGCTCAAATAAACAACCTACTGTTGAACCTGACTACTAGAAAAAGCAGAGCAAGTCAAGCCCAAAAGCTTGTACAAGATAGGAATTAATGCAACACAGGATAAGAAAAGAATACAAAGAATCAATGAATCAAAGAGTTGGTTCTTTGAAAGATTAATAAAATTGACAAACACTTAGTCAACCTTATCAAAACAAAGGAAAGAAAAGACTCAACACCACACAATTAGGAATGAGAAAGGTGAAATTGTAGTGTATCTTGCAGAAATCCAGAGGATCATTAGCACTTACTTCAAGAACCTGTATTGATGGAAAATGCAGACAAAATGGACAGATTCCTAGATATGTATGAATTACCAAAGCTGAACCAAGGGGATATAAAAATTCTGTATAAAGCAGTATCAATGAAATTGAAGATGCAATTAAACCCCCCCAACAACAAAGAGAAGCCCAGATCCTGATGGATTGATTCACTGCTGAATTCTACAAGAAATTCAGATAAGACATAATACTGCTACTTCTCAAACTCTTTAGTGAAATTGAAAGGGAAGCAATATTCACAAATTCATTTCTGGAAGCAAGCATTTTCCTGATACCAAAAACAGAGAAGGATTCAACCAATAAAGAGAACTACAGGCCAATCTCCCCAATGAACACAGATACGAAAATCCTCATTAAGATAATAGCAAAGAGAAAGCAGCAAATCATCATGAAGATTATACATCATGAAAAAGTAGGACTTAGCTCAGGGATGCAGGGATGGTTCAACATCAACAAATCAATAAATGCAATATACAACATCAACAAAGCCAAGAACAAAAACCATATGATCATCTCAATACATGCAAAAAAAGCATTTGACAAAATCCAACACCCATTCATCATAAAAACCCTACAGAAAATTAGAATAGATAATCTTTATCTCAATCTGATAAAAGCTATCTATGACAAACCAATAGAAACACCATACTAAATGGACAAAGACTGAAAGCTTTTACTCTGAAATCAGGAAGAACACAGGGATATCCACCACCACCACCACCACTCTTATTCAACATAGTTCTGGAAACACTAGCCAGAGCAATTAGACAAGAGAAATAAATAAAAAGAATAGAAAAGGAAGAAGTTGCATTGTCATTATTTGCAGATGACATGATACTCTAGATAGAAGACCCCAAAAACTTGACCAAAAGACTTCTAGACTTAATAAGCAAATTCAGTCAAGTAGCTGGATACAAAGTCTACACTCAAAAATCAAGACCAGTCCTGTACACATATAACAAACTCAACAAGAGAGAAATTAGGGAAACACCTCTGACAAAAGCATCCAAAAAAAAGGAATATCTAAGAATCAATCTAACAAAGGAAGCAAAAGATCTTTACATGGAAAACTACAGTACTCTGAAAAAGGAGATCAAAGAGGATATCAGAAAATGGAAAGATCCCTTGTGTAGCAAAAGATCTTTACATGGAAAACTACAGTACTCTGAAAAAGGAGATCAAAGAGGATATCAGAAAATGGAAAGACATCCCTTGTTCTTGGGTAGGAAGAATGAATACAGTGAAAATAATCAAAGATCTAAAGATTAAACCAGAAATACTACATCTGTTGGAAGATAAAATAGGTAGAACTCTAGAAGACATACTGTAGGCAAAGACTTCAAGAACAAAACCCCAATGCACAGGAAAATATTCAAAGAATCAACAACTGGGACTTCTTCCTGTCAAAAGGCTTTGCACCGGGCCAGGATTTAGCTCAGTGGCGCTGCAACTGCCTCGCAACAACAAGGTCCTGAGTTCGATCCCTAGTATGGGGGTTGGGGAGAAAAAAGAAAGAAAGGCTTTGCACAGCAAAAACAAAAACAAACAAAAAAACAAAAAAAACCCCAACAGAATGAAGACACAACCTACAGAGTGGGAAAAAATTGTAGCTGGTTGTTCCCCAGACAAAGGACTAATATCTAGAATATATACAAAAACTCAAAAAAATTAAAACCCCTAAATTTAAAGACTCACTAAAAAAATGGGCATCTGAAATGAAGAAACAATTCTCAAATGAAGAAGTAGAAACGGCAAATAAAGATATGAAAAAATGTTCAATATCACTGATCATTTGAGTGATGCAAATTAAAACACTGAGATTCTACCTCATTACAGAAAGAATGGCTATTATCAAGAAATCCACCAAAAGCAAATTCTGGAGCGGGTATGAGGGAAAAGAAACAACTCTCTACTGTTGGTGGGAGTGCAGACTGCTGCAACCACTGTGGAAATCAGTGTGGAGATTCCTCAAAAAACTAGGATTAGAGGTCCCATTTGATCTAGCTATCCCCTTTCTGGGTATCTTCCTTAAAGAATTAAAAGCATTATTCCACAGCAATATATGTGCCTGATGTTTAGAGCAGCAGTATGTAATAGCTAAATCTAGAGAACAGCCGAAATGCCCATCAGCTGATGAGTGTATAAAGATGTGGGTTTTTTTTATTCAATGGAGTACTACTCTGCTATAAAGAAGGATGAGCTTGAGACATTTATAGCTAAACGGAGGCACGTTGAGATCATACTCTTTTTTTAAATGAAATATATTCAACACACATATTTAAAAACCACAGTTCATGTGGTGTGAGAAGCTGGAAGTGTAAATAAGGACCAAAATGTATAAAAGATATTACAAAATGGGAAGAAAATGTTCAAATGTGAAGGGGAACTAGGGAGAGGGGAGGGGTAAAGGAAAGAAGGGACAAGGAAAAAATGGAAACAATATTTTTGTAAACAAGAAGGGGAAGAGGGGTTAAAGGGTGGGGGGTGGGAAAAAGGAGCAAGATGTATGATGTACAGGCACAAACTCCCTATGGTGAATGTTCTCACTAAGTGTATCTAAAATGTACCAATATGACTGAAAAAAAAATTAATATATTATCTCCCAGAGCTGCCACCAAGTCACTGCAGGAACAGAAACGGTATCCGTCTTCACTGTACTGAAAGGCTTTCTGCAGTAGTTTTCCACCTAACTTTTAGGAAAGCTAACAGTGAAGTATGCGAAATTAAACTGTAATTATGCAAAGGCTCCGTTTCCAAATATTTTTCCCAAAAGCTATTTGCCTGAGGGAATTAGGTGAAGGAAGGAGAATTCCACCACCTAAGTCCCTCCCTCTCTGGTTTGCCCATTTCCTCCTTGGCTGTGTTTGATAAACCTTGGCTGACCCTCCCAGATAGGATAACCACCTAAAAGCTTTCCCCCTCCACTGTCCAAAACGCTGGTATTTGTAATACTTCTCTTCTTCCTTCCTTCCCTGCCTCTGCCTTCCTTTTCATTTAAGAAAATCCTCTCAACCCTGTATTTCAGGAGCAAAGTTGATAAGACACTCTTTGGACTTCCTGCTCCAGACTCGGAGAACTGGCCAGGGCACAAATCAGGGGCTGAGAGGAGACCACTGGAGATCTCTCTCCCTCCCCCACCCCCTCTGGCTGTGGTGTTGAGCTGAACAGAAGCATCACGTCAGGGAGAAATCACATGCAAAGCTTCAGAGCAAATCACTCTCCACAGAGAACACTGAGTTTCCCTCTGGTTTAGAGCAAATGATAGCAGAGGCAAAGACTGACATACACAATTTCCTCATGATTGAAAACAATAGAAATAACAGACTTAGAAACATTAAGATTCATAGTTCTTTTATAGTCTATATTTGCTGGTTTTAAGCAAATATAGACTATAAAATGACTATGAATAAGACATAAAGGCAAGCCGGGCATAGTGGCACATGCCTGTCATCTCAGCCCTCAGGAGGTTTAGGCAGGAGGATCACTGTTAAGTTCGAGGCCAGCCTGGACTACATAGCAAGCTCAAGGCCAGCTTAAACTATAGAGTGAGACCCCATTTCAAAAACAGAAAACAAACCAAAAAAGACATAAAGGCAGGTTCATAAAAGACATTAACAGGAAGCATCAGAAACTTTCTAAAGTAATCAAATAAATCTTTTAATAACAAAATGTAGAACTGCCAAGGAAGGAAAACCCCTCTGTGGATAAAGCAAGGTTTGGTTCCTAGCAGGTGAGTGTTGCCCAGGAGATGGGGAAATCTGGGATATGAAGGTGAAAATGAGGAGTATTGGGAGCCATTCTACATAATTTTGGGGAAAAAATTGTGAAGATTAGGGCTGAGGCCTCCATGGTCCCCTCATGCTGTGAAGATCAAGGGCAAGATTACATCAGCTGAAGACATCCCAGTTTCTTGAAAATGGAGTAGTAATACAAAAAGAAAAAGGTTTCACCTGCAGAGGGACAAACTCCTTTTCAGCCTAACATCCCACAGACTTCTGTAAGAGCGATTTGCTCATCTCACGGTTCTAATCCACCTAAACTCCTCATCAGCATAAGATTCTCGTCAACTTAGGGTTACTGCAGTTCTCCAAGTCATGTGTTACTCTCTATGAACCCAATAAAGAGGCAAGCTCTGGGTGCCTTCATCTTTGCTGCTCAGAACCTCACTAATCAGGATCAAAACCCAGCTCTAAGTCTTATTTCCTGTCTTTATTTTTTAATTTACCTTGTATTGCTGTAGCTCACAGGAGACCAAGACCCACTGCAGGGGTTCTGGGAACATCCCCTTTCTCCGTTCCCTAAAGAGGAGCCCTCACACGTGCTGTCTTGGTGTAAGGTGCTGGACAGTCTCACAGATTAGGTCAACAAGGCTGGGCTCTGGGAGCATCTCTTCTTTCATCTCAAATCAATGAATCAAACAATCAGTGAAGGCCCAGTCACTGTCTGCAGAGTGGACATGGGCACCCTGGTCTGTGGGTGCAGCCATGGTGCTCCCACTATCCTGGGAGCATGTGACTGGTGGCTACCCTCTTCTCACTTGTCATCATCAATATTTTCTACAGCCAGGCAGAAACCCAGCTGGAGCCATTACCGAGGAGAAACACGGACTCCGTTTGTAGCTGCTCATCCTGAGCTCATAAAATACCCCAGTGAGGTGGTGAAAAACTAAAAGATCGGCCACACAAGTGTTCAGTTCAGAAGCCAGTGGCAGTGATCACAAAGACAGAGAGTGGCGAGATCCTGAAAGACAGCAGTCTGATACTGACTGTGGCAAGACTGCAAAAGATGACAGTGCTCCCAGAGAGGAGTCTCAGAAAGCCACCCTGATGAGATCCAACCAGTAGGCAGACAGGGCACAGCTAATGACATTTCTGCCAAGGTGAGAAGTTTCCTGTTTACTTCATCTCCTAATACATATAGATTTTTTTT